ATTGTTCCTTTTGAACCAAAACTTTGATCTCAAAAACAAATTTTTTTCGTGGAACATCATATAATCATATCAGAAGTATATATATCAATACACATATATCAGCAGTAAATCAAGATAAATCACATATCAGTACTATATCAATGGCAAATCTCATATCAGAAGTTATATCATCAATTGGTAAATCATATAATCATATTAGAAGTTATATGAGTAGACATCATAGTTATATCAAAAGTAAATCAATTATATATTAGATGTATTTCAAATATCTGTATTAAGGTTATATCAATGGTAAATCAATCAATAGTAAATCATATAATCATATAAGAAGTTATTTCAGTAGATATCATGGTTATATTAAAGGTATACAAGTCGTAAATCAGATACATATAAAGTATATATCACAAATATATCAATGGTAAATCATATAATCATATATAATAAGTTACATCAGTAGTATATTAGTTGTATATCAGTGGTAAATTAAAAGTATATCAAATATATATCAACGGAAATCGAAATGTATGGTTTTCTGGACTTGCGCATTTTGAACTTATTTTTGGGTTTTCTATGCTTGGGTTTGGGCCTACGGGACAAAATTGTCATTTAATATATGGGTTTTTTTTTCTCCATATCTCAAGTTGTCTACGGGTGACGTGGGTAACAAAAGAGTGATTCATGTGGACACGTGGAGTAGGGTTAAAAATTGTGTAGGAAAGAAAACTTAAGATACCAAGTCAGCCGCCACGTCACTTTCCCTCGCTCCTTCCAACTGAAAAATTCTTATTTGAAGGTTAAAATTGAAACTTTTAAAATTTTTGAAACTAACTTAAAAGTTAAGCTTCTTAAAATGGGTTTAACAGTTGATGTTGTTAGCTTTGCACAAAGAAACTTTCCTAACAAACTTGAAATGGTGTGGGGAGAGATCAAAATATGGGAACAACGACGACAACAACAACACAGAGTTTGTTATTCCCCATCCCCGCCATGGTTACGAAACTCAACCTCTTGTTTTCTAATCTCAACAACAACAAAAAACGAAAAAAGAAGAACAAGAAGAAGAGGAAGAAGAAGTTGTGAACCATGATTCTTCATTCATCAACGCTCATTTTCCCTGCATCCAAACAACGCACAGATTAATTAAACCTCAATCGATTCCCCTCCGAATCTCATGCCCTTAATCGTCGTCTTCGGCTTCATCCTCACAGTTCTCGTGTTCTTTTCCTTCTTCGGCGTCTGCATCTACATCTGCTTCCAATGCTACGAGCAGGGATTCTCAGAGGCCGATCGAACCGGCGGCCGTGAAAATGGAGAAACGGCGGCGGCGGTGGTGGCGATGGATCCGGAGGAACTGAATCGTGAGATTGAATCGGCGGTGGAGAAATTGACGAAGCCGCCGGGGGAGAACGATGATGAGGAGGAACCGCCGTCGGAATTATTGAGCGAATGCGCGATTTGTTTGGAGGAATTTGGGGATAGGGCTTCGTGCAGAGTTTTCCCCAATTGCAAACATATGTTTCACACCAATTGCATAATCAGCTGGTTAGGGCTTAATCGAACTTGTCCGATATGTCGGACTCGGTTATAATTTGTCGCCCACACCAAAACGACATTACTCTTCCAAGCCAATGTGTGACAAGTTTTTTTTTTCCTTTTTTGGTCTTGATCCATATCTAATTTTAGAAATTCGTCTTAAAATTTTGGGGGCATTTTGACTCATGGGTTGAGTTTGTGTAATAATAACGTAAATAATACTGCATTTGAAAGTCGAAGTCTATATTTGATACTTTGATTTGGTTCCGTTATTTCTCTTTTAGCTATATTGATCTCTCTCTACCTATACGGGAACGAAGGGAGGGCGTCAAAAGAGAGAGACAGGTGGAAAACAAAAGAAGGTGGGAGAGGGAAAAGAGGAGAAAAAAAGCGACATGGTAAGACGAATTTACCAAGCTAAGAAATAGTGAGAAATCACATACTTCGTCATCCGGAAACTAGGTTAATCTATATAGTATTAATAAAAAAAAGTTTAAATACTATTTTAGTTTATATATTTTCAACTTTATTCATTTTGATTATTGTACTTTTAAATGGTTCATTGAATACTATTTTTTTTAGTTTAACAATGTGAGGTGAAATCCATCATTGAATTTTGGGATGATAATATGCGTATTGTCGAATTGACCTTAATATTTTAATTATGCTATATTGTTGTGTTGATATTTAATTTAAATAGTTTTTGTCATAAAATATAATTGTTTAAAATTTTATATAATTTAAATTACAATTTTAAAATTTGTTTATTCTAAATTATTTAATTAAAGATTAGGAAAAGCAATTGTTATAAAAATTGTATCAACAAAATGTTATATCAATTTAAATACCAAAAATAGTAAAATAAATAAAATATGTTGAATTAAACAATAAAGTAAAAGCAACAAATTAAAAATTTAAATAATCAAATGAAAATTTTTAAAAATTTGTTAGTAAATGCACCGAAATAATAATTATCCTTTTTGACCTTGAATTTTTGCCTATAGGTTTCATCTTGGTTGCTGCGTTTTAAAATCCTGCATATTTTTGTCGAGTTTTCAAAGTTAAATAATGATCTTTTAACTAACGTCTTCATAAGATATCTCACAGAAAATATGACTAAATTAATGTGATATATTTGAGTTGAAATATACTATTGATTACGCGAATATTCATCCCGCGTAAGGCTGATTGAATAGGACGATTTAATAAATAAAGGATGTGATCATAAATCTAACACATCCACTTTCAATATCACACAATCTCCAACAATTCTCTTGTGAGAGAGAAGAGAGAGGAAGATAATGGTTTTTCCGTATTCTTTTACCACATAAGTTCAAATAATATAATAAAAATTAGTATTTTGTCGTATCAACATTTAATTTAATTTTAAATAGATTCAACGATAATGAATGTGTTGTTTAAATCATATTGTTATGTAGATAGGGACTACATTGATAATTATGAGAGATAATAATTATTAACTATTTAAAAAAAAGAATTATTATCTATATTGTTAATTGTTTGATGATGAATTTATTTTTTATTTTCTATTTCTTAAAAAGTATCTAAGAAAAACTTTGAGAAAGTCTAGTTAAACATACTTTATCAAAAGGAAATTACGTATTATTTATTAAATTTTATTTAGTTTAACTTTGATGTTCATCGTGACTTATATATCCTATAGTTAGCCTAAAAAATTAGGAAAAAAACTTGGCTAAGTTAAACGAGGAACTTCTTCCCCAATACCATTAAAAATATTTGAGAACTAAGGGAGAGAAATGCAAAAATAAAAAAGTTTTAAAAAAATAATAAGTAATGCAAAAATAAAAATAAAACAATTAAAAAATAAGGAGTTGTCAAATGTTTAATGGTATTAATTCCTCCTTGACTTTAAGGAGCCGAGTTTTTTCTAAAAAATTATATGTCTTGCTGCAAAATAATATCAATTATTTAAAATAAAAAATTATAAACATGAAGAAATATCGTTACTATTTAAAGAAGTTTGTAAACAAAGTTCAACTTACATTATTTTTATTTCATAATTATATAATTTTAGGTGGATAGTTGACTTTACTTATTAAGGTGCAGGTCAATACAACTGATAATGCTTGAAATAGTGAAATTTAGAGGATGTGCAGTTAAAAACAAAATATCTATAAAGATAAAAAGGTGTTACTAGCTAAATGTTTTGGTATTTGCCAAACTTCTTACGTTAAAACAATTAATTATTTGAGGCATCAATCTTATCTAATGCTATGTTTAATTAGCTGGCATTTTTTTGTGATTTGAGTTTGGGATCGATTTTGTCTAATGTTAGATTTGAGTTTATTGACATGCTGGTGTGCCTTCTTCTTGCTTCTTAGGTCTTTTGGACTTATTCTAGGTGCTCAGTAAACTAAACAACTTTATCATCTTATCGAGAGTTAGACTACCAAGCATATGAACTCATATAAGTTAAGTAGCTTCTTAGTCGCACTATAGTTGAGTTTACTTGATCTAGGTGGCTTTTTAGTCTTTATAACTATTACTCGTCTAATGCATTAGACTAAGTGGTTTCCTAATTGTCTTACTCGTGTCAACCTACCGTTCACCTCACTTGAACTAGGTGGCTTCCTAGTCTCATTTGAATCATCCTAGTAATCACTTGAGCCAGATAACTATAGCTTTCTTGTCTAATATGGATTGAAATATGACTCATACACAAAGTGACCTTTTCAATCACAAACTTTCTACAACATAAAAAAAAATAACATTTCCATTTTGATTTATTTTCATTATAATTTTGGGAAGGAAATGTGATTTTTTTTTTCATGCTATTGGAGGTTAATTATCACCTGCTACGTGTCACAAGAAGAATCAACTTCACCTTTCGGATTGATTAAAGTCGTGGAAGCTCGACAAGTCAAAGACGATCCGAGCAATTTTCTACCTTTCGGCCAACCTTCGTCAAGTACGAGTTGGGCTTGAAGAGCACCTGTAGGCGCGAAGGTAATGAGGATGTTCTCCGACAATACACTGCGCTTCCTGAACGGTTGTTGGAGCATTGTTAGAAGTCTTGTTGGGAGATCATCTCTATAAATAGATCAGACACTCGCCTCCCACAAAAGGTACACAAAACTATTTCTTTCTAGAGCAGATTGGATTGTGCACTGACAAGAAAGTCGGAGTGGTAACTTTATTTTGTAGGTACTTTAGACTTCGTTACACCTCATCTGAACTTGGCAGATTCAAACTTGGTTGAATACACTATCAAACTCGCACTGTTACCCTAGTTAAACAAAAAACCAATAAATTCTTTCTATGAGGTCGAAAACTGTGGAAAAGTCACCTCTCTTTGCTCAATTTTGAAATATTTCTACCTTATACATCTCCGAGAATAAAATTTTAAACATAGCAATGAAAATTTAACCACATTAATTAATTAATTCGTGAAAGTTAGTTTCATTCGACAAATTTTTAGATAAAAAAAAGAAAGGGAAATCGACAGCCAATTTGGGCATCGAGCAGTGCAATAACGAGCGTTCTCATAGCGGGAGATCATGTCGGTTTGCTCTTCTTCCTCTTCGTCGTCATCCGGGTACCTGGGCGGTGCCAAGGCCTGGATTGTTCATGGCGTTGTTGCTGGAATCGCCATTGGCGCCGCCGTCGGAGCTCGAGCTTATCTGGGTCGATCCAAGAAATTTCGTAGCCGCGTCGTTGGCATCATTCCCGCCCGCTTCGCCTCTTCACGCTTCGAGGGGAAGCCTCTTGTTGAGATTCTCGGAAAACCCATGATCCAGGTTCCAGCCCTAATTTCTTCTCATTCTTCTCTTTATTGTTCATACCGTTTCTGGATCCGTCAAATTCGATTTACGCATTACTGCTGGAAAGACTCTGGGAATTTGCATTTGCTTCATAGCTGATCTGGGTTTTGTTCGGTTGAATTTCAAAGTTTATGTGGAAGCTAGATCTACCATTAGCTGTAACTTCTGTTTGCTTAGTTCTTTTAAGTAGGCTTCTGAAGATGAATCAGAGGTGAATTAGCAGAATTCCTCTGTTTCTATTTGCTTGGTGCTAGTAAATCCGTTCGCGTTGGTATTTAGGAGTTAGGAAGCTTGGTGACCTGCGCTATAGCTGAAATCCCAAAAGAAAAAGACAAAAGAATACAGTTCTATGGCTTCCTTGATGTTCCCGTTTCTCCCCCTTCAACTGGCTGGTAGCCCTTCTCGTGGACATCAACAATTTCTTCTCATCAATTCGGTGGCCCAATCATTTAAGAAATAAAAGAATAACCTATGACTGAAATTCATTAGATCTTTCTTTTTGCATCTTTAATTTGAGAGGAACGATAGAATCTTCAACATCTTAGGATGGAAAATATTTGCCTCCTCAATGAGGAGGACAGTTTAAACCTTTGAAAACTAAGAGAGAGTAATGCAAAAACATAAACTTTTTTGAAATAATAATGAGTTGTCAAATATTTAGTAATCCTCGTTCTTGAGGAGGCAAGTATTTTCCTCCTAGGATACTTCCTTAGATTCTCTCTTCTGTGGCTCTTTTTTTAATGTAAAATTTATGCGTCTTTCAATGATTACAGTTTAAATACACTCTGATTCAATTGGAGGTCTTTGTCCTAATCTTCTTTGGCTTGGGTTTGGTTTTCCCCCCTCTTTTGTAATAAAATGAGAAATAAATGGATCAAACCAACTATCAGCATTCTATACTGCATCCGATAAAAACCAAGATTCTGAATCCTCTGATTTCGTCCTGTGTTCATTTTCTGATAACCGCTGTCCAAATTATGAATTTTGGAAGCCAATTATGTGTATTGTTTTATGAAGGATCTATATTGTTAGTGAGACTGAGACCAGTTTTCATAGGCTGAACTTTCAGCTCTAGTCGTTACTATACATATAATGTTGTGTTAACACAACTTTGATTTTGCATTGGCTGAAGATCGGAAGTAGGTTTGCACTTCTTAGGAAATTTGTAGCCAGTGTCGTATGTCATATGGATCTTGTTCCTTCCCTCTATGGATTTGTAATCGTAGTTCTTTTGGTGTTGGATCGTGATTTACATTAGATCAATGGATTATGTTTTTATATCATTCATGTCTTAAATCTGTCGAAATTTTAATATGCCTACAAAATTCATATTCTGCAGAGAACATGGGAAAGGGCAAAAATGGCTACTACATTGGATTGTGTTGGTAAGCACCTGTGCTCTGTCCTTCTTGTTTTGTGTTCACCGTCCTATTCTTACCTTTTGATTTGAAATTGTTCCAGTTGTAGCAACCGATGATGCAAAGATTGAACAATGCTGTAAAGGGTTTGGTGCGGATGTTGTAATGACATCAGAGTCTTGCAGGAATGGTAAGCAGTAAGCAGTGTGATTTTATAAAGTTTTGAGATTACTGTGGAAATCTATCGGTTTACAGTATAAAACTACTTCAGGAACTGAACGCTGTAATGAAGCACTTCAGAAGCTCGAGAAGAAATACGACATTGTTGTAAACATTCAAGGGGATGAGCCCCTTATTGAACCGGAGATCATCGATGGTGTTGTTAAAGCTCTGCAGGTAAATGATTATATACCCTCCAGTTGAAATAACATTTTTATTAGATAGGTAGCTCTAGCTCCGATACAGCGACAGAAGAATCCATGCTAACCAACTGGCAGTTATAAGTTTGTTCCCATTATAGTTCCCATCACAGGCAAGTTGGGTTATATATGTTGTACGAATGCTACGTTGTTTCATCTTAATTTCTAACTCAATTACTCAAGCTCTTGGTTTGTGTGATGTGTAGGCTGCTCCGGATGCAGTGTTTAGCACTGCTGTGACATCCTTAAAACCCGAAGACGCATTTGATCCGAATCGAGTGAAGTGCGTAGTGGATAATCATGGATATGCTATTTATTTTTCAAGAGGATTAATCCCTTTTAACAAGTGAGGTTTTCTTTTCCATCTTGTCCCTTATGTGTATTAGTTTATCCTGAAGTTTTCAACCGTCTACCTCTTCAAGATCAACTCATGGCTGCCGTTATAGATTATTTCCATAGCTCGATAATCTTGACGAGTTACATCAATTCGTTGATGCAGGTCAGGAAAGGTCAATCTTCAATTTCCCTATTTGCTTCATCTTGGAATTCAGGTATTAAAGTAATGTATATCTGGTGAATTCGTTATACCGTAATGCCCAACTGAACAAACCTTCTTCTCTTCTTTTCTTTCCAGAGCTTTGATTCAAAGTTTTTGAGGATATATCCTGAACTCCAACCCACGCTGTTGCAACTAGAAGAGGATCTAGAGCAGCTAAAAGTATTAGAACATGGCTACAAAATGAAGGTATAGTTCGGATTCTTACACTCGTAGCATTCTTTCCCTCTTTCAGAAACTCTTATGCTTTCTCAAAGCGGTTTATCCGGATCTTTCGCTCATGCTTAACGCGTAATGACAATCTTGTCTGCAAAGAAGTTGCGTGTTCACTCGTGAAAACATATGAAGCCCAGATGTTGAAACGCCATTTTCTTTTGCAGGTGATAAAGGTTGACCATGAGGCTCATGGTGTTGATGTTCCTGAAGATGTAGACAAGATTGAATCTTTTATGAAGGAGAGGAACATAACTTAGTTACCGAAGAAAGTTGTAAGGTTTCGTTTGATAACGATTTTTGTTTTGGTTTTTTTTTTTGTATTTGTATGGGAGTTGAAAAAGATGTTTGCTGTTATTTTGTAGAGTTGAAGTAATTTTTTGCATGATATTTTCTCTCTTCAAAGCCATGTTTTAACTTCTTTGTTTATGATATTTGTAAAGTTAATTTTTTGTGTTCTGTTTTATTTTTAATTATAAATTTGACATCTTTTACGTTTAGACATCTATCTATTGATATTATTTTTTAAAATATTTGAGGAAGATCATGGAAATTGTGGATATTGATGGCATTCTTTTTTTAAAATAACAGTATTTAAAAAGAAATTCCTTTAAATATTCTTTTAAACCTTGATTCATTTTTGCCCTTTTACCTTTAAAATGTACAAAAGTTGAAAGTATAGTGTTAAAAATGGACATTTTAAATTATAAGAACCAAAATAAAAGGATGAGAACCAAATTAGTATTTAAACTTAATTTTTATATATGAAGTGATAGATAAGTTAAGTTTAGATTATAAGTTGAAGCCTGAACTTTCACGTTTATAGATCGCTGAATTAGGTCGTTGAATCTTAAAAGTATCTAATAGGTTCTTAATCTCTCAATTTTGAGTCTTATACTTGATTGATTAAATAATTTTTTAAAAAAAAATTATAGATTTATTAGACACAAAATTGAGAGATCTTATCAAATTAAAAAAAATGTTAAATAGATTAAGGACTCGAGCCTTTAAAATTTAGGGACTTAAAAGCAAAAAAATGTACAGTTTTAGGAACATATTAGACAGATATCTTTTAAAATTAAAATCCAATTTTGTAAGTTTATCATTTATTTTTCTTTTCACTATTTGTGTTTTTTATAACCAACGTATACTCTATAAAATTTTTACTTTTATATTATATTAGAAGAATAATGAAGAAAAATACATTCAAATAAGTTAAAATAATTGGTTAAAATATTTTACTGTTTCTTAATGATTGGAAGTTCAATAATTTCTCATTCACATATCTATTGTACTACAAAAATAATCAAATAGTTATTTGAATATTTTGTTAAGAATTTCCAACAATCATATGTCATAAAAGTGACATTGAATATGAAAAAAATAAGAGTGACATTGAATTTGATTTCTATAGGTTCTTTTTAAGCTTTAAAAGTGACATTAAATTGGTTATGGAAAAATCAGCCAGCCACTTTATCGAGTTTACGAGGTAAAGGATGCAGTGAACTGTAATTGTGAAAAGGTTGGAAGATCTGGCTAAAGAAGTGATAGCCCTGTAGATTTGTTCTCATAGTTTCCCTTCCCAGTGAAATGTGTCGTGTTCATAAAAGTTGGTGTTTGGTTTCTGATAAGTCTCTAAGTTAACTTGATCAAACATAATGATGATGTGATAGTAATTAATATATGTCAATAAGACTTTGTAACTTAAATAAAAAAGAATAAGAAATACTGTAGTTCAAAGTCTCAACTAACGTCAACTATTTAAAAGAACAATTCGAAACTAAATTAAAATTTCACGAATCAATTAAAAATTAAATTAAAAGAGTCTAAACACATCACTTTTGAAATTCCGAGGACAAAAATGATAATACTTTAAACTCTGATAAACAAATAGAAACTAAATTAAAACCTAATCCAAAAGTATATTTTAATGGATATTACTCTTATAAATACAAATCATCCACTTTCCGACATGAATAATTTTAGAGGTGCCATCTGTGATACACGTGTTGCAATCCTATTCGATCGTACGCTAGTCCCCAACTCCCTCATCCTCTCGTCGTCCATTCATTGCCACATCAAAGAAAACCAAATTACCAAATTTGCCCAAAAATTCTCTCTCTCTCTCTCTCTCTCTCCTGATTTTTCTCTTTCCCCTTCTCTCTCACCTCACAACCGTCGCGCTCCAATTTCTTGCTCCGATGGCTACGGTTCTCGATTCCCTCACTCTTCCCTGTTCCTCTGCTTTCTCTTCGCCTTCTTCTTTCTCCGGCCGCCGGACCTCCCTCGCCCTCCCGCAGTTCAGAGGCTTGAAGATCTCCCACAGCTTCACTTCCCACTCTATAAGATCTGCCAGATCCAGTTCCAGGTTTGCTCCGCGTTCCGGGAGAATCGTCTGCGAAGCTCAGGAAACTACTGCCGTAGGTCGGGATTTCGTTCTGCATTTTTCCTTTTGCTGGCTTCTGTTTTAGATCTTTGCTGTCTTTGTTTGGTTGTTTCGATGGAGAAGGATAAATTTTAAACGATACTTGGCAGTTTTGTGAATTTAAGATCCTTTGAAGGAGAAGAAAAGATGAAAAATGTACGTTATGGATGGTTTAGAAAGCTTAAGATAAGTTTAATAGTTTCAGTGATATGGAAGCAAAACACACTTCGCAGCAGGGTTATGGATTAAGAGCTTATACTGTGACCTAAAAGTTTTAAGGTGTATTCTGAACGTAATATTTGTTGCTAGTGTCATTTAGTGGAATGATGCTGAAATACATCACAAATCATTTCCTGTTTGAATTTATGTACTTTTCATATTTTTTTATACTCTGAAACCTGACAGATGTGTGGATGTTGCGTATTCCCATCCTTACATATGCTTGGATCTGAAGATAAAATACAGTGATAGTAAGTTGCGATGAATCTGAACTGGGTCATAGAAATGCGTTTTACTGTGAAATTAGCTTGAGCTTTAATTTTTTTAAAAAAATAAAATTACTACATCAACGGTCAAGATTTTGAAGCAAGAGATTAGAGAGAGGGTCTCCGGGGAGGTTGGCAACTTAGCATGAGGAGTTGTAGAATGCCAAATTGAGAAGATGAGTTCTGCCGTAATTAGGTTTTTATTGCTGTTACAGAGAGTGGTGAATAGGGAGTTGGTACGATATCGGTTCAATATGTTCGGAGAAAGTGGCCTAGATGTTATAGAACCTTTTGAATGGTCAAGTTTATTTTGCTTCTGCTTGTACATGCCATCTCCAAGATGTTATTTGTTATCATAAATGTAGGTAATGCCAAATGTTTCAAATAGTGATTCTTAGAGTATGGACTCATGCGTCTCTCTTTTTTTCTGGTGTAAAAAATTCTAGAAAGAACCAAAGTTTCAGACTTGATTACATTTGTGTGTGTGTGTAGTTCAGAAGTATTTGTCCAGTTTGCTTTTTAAAAATTTAATTCAATTAGAGAGTTCCTTCTGTTCTTATTTTGGAGCGTTTACTTATTTCAAAATTTTTTTTTCCGTTACTCTACGTACTGTCATGTACCTAGTATTTACTTTTTTTATAAGATCATGAAAAGGGGATATTGATGTTTGATCTTAAGAATTGTGACACTTTAGACCGACTCTGACCCCATGTTTCTGTATGCATTGAGTGTTCTAATTCTGGATCAATTTTTGCGATGTTGGTATTAATCCTGGAGTGTCACAGTACTGAGTCGATGTTAGTATGTAACACAGGAATTTGTTATACATAAAGTATTATTTAATTCTGTGTTATCTTTTGATTCTCCTGTGCTGGTCTGCCCGATCCTCGGGTCAATAATGTTACCTGCAACTATATTTGCCCACTCTCTAACTTTCTTCTCCCACAAAAAAAGTCTGTGTTAAGGTTAAAAGAAATCACATGTTTCTGGAATGTTGCAGTGCCTGCTGCTACAGAAGCTACCTGGCAGTCACTTGTTATTGAAAGTGAATTACCCGTTCTAGTCGAGTTCTGGGCACCATGGTGCGGTCCATGCCGCATGATCCATCCTCTAATTGATGCTCTAAGCTCCGAGTATTCGGGAAGATTTAAATTTTACAAGGTTAATACTGATGACAATGCTGCAATTGCATCCCGATACGGTATAAGAAGCATCCCAACTGTCATTATCTTCAAAGGTGGTGAGAAGAAGGAGGCAGTAATTGGTGCAGTTCCCAAATCAACTTTGATTGCCAGCATGGACAAATTCTTGTAGAGATAGCTGATAAAAAGTATGAATCGAATGAACGTAAGCTGCTTTCCCATAATTTCTTTAATTTTAGCCTCTTATATCTGAAGATGAATTCTCTACCCTGGAAATAAACTCTCCTCATTTGTCACATATAGTTCCTAATGCAACTGGTTCCTAATGCAACTGTATCTTCGTTAGATTGTATCTATTTTCTCTTTACTTTCTCTATGGATGCATCTTTCTTTATAGAGTCTCTTACTTTTCTGATTTGTCTATACATGAAGTTCTACTATAAATCTTCTGGTAGAATGTATGAATTACTTGTCACATGATGTAGAAGAGCAACTTTTTGAGGCAACTGGTTAGGATTAGAGGGGCATTGGATCTGTGCACATTTCAATCTTTTAACTCTTGGTGGGCGTTTTGTCCACAAGTTTGTGTAACTTATAGGGTTGCATAGCTTGTATTTTGGTGGTTGGATAGGAATAAGTTTCAAAAGTTGGGGATTATGCCCCTTCACTTTGTTCAATGAGGTAAAAAATGGCTATCTTCAATGGGTTAAGACATCTATGCACAGCTCAGCGGGTTAAGGCATCTATGCACGACTAGAAAGTCGTGAGTTCGAATCTCTTGCTGCCAAATATTGTACTAAAACAGATGAGATAAAAAAAGATTAGAAGCTCGGGTCGGGTGGATGGATGTATGGGTTTGGATATTAGTTTATTGTTGTGAGTTATTATATTGCATCAGATATATTCACTTCAAACCATAAATTTATATTTGCTACCCTTAAATGTTGAGAAGCAACGTCACAAATATTAGGAAGCAATCTTTATATTTTGCTTGGATGTGGTGGTTGTATATTATTATTTATATTTAGTCTAAATGTGGTAGTTGTGGATCCGTTTGGATCTTCTCGTTTCTCATTTCTTTTTTTTGTTTCTTTATTTCTTGTTTCCTCTCTTTCAATGAAGAGCAATAAATAGAAACATAATTTTGTTTAGTAATTGTTTCTCTTTTTTTTTTTAATTTGAAAAAAGAAAAAGAGATATATTTGGTAATTATATCTTGTTATTTTTTGATGTTGTTTTAACATAAATTAACCATGAATAAAAATCACAATCATCCTTTAATATAAAATATTATTAAATTTTATTATTATAATATTTAATAGCAATGAATTATATTTTAAAAAATTAATTGATATTATAGAGTTTTATTATTATAATATTCTATAAATGAAATCGACTAATAAAATTATAAAACAATCAATAGAGAATAAAAGTGGTAAAGTAATTGCATTAAATATGTAGGGTCCATGGAATCAAGAATGAGAACAATTAGGAGAAGAATTGTTACATACCATGTTTAAGGACTAGAAAATGAGCGGTAATTGATGTGTATCTCCAAATTAAGAGATTGTGAGTTCGATTCCCTATCTTACGTGCTATACTTAAAAAGAAAAAAATAAAAAAAAATGAGATTAACACTGCTGGCCTATCATCGATCTACATAAATAATAAATTTTATTAAATTTTAATATAATTTTTGAAATTGTTCCATACTAAGTTTAAGAGGGATTAAATCGTAGAGACCCAACGTGTTTTTTAGTTTTCTTTTTTACCGGATAAAAAACAATAATTTTCAATTGTTTTTCGTCTCTGTCTTTTCCTACTCAACAGACCGAAAATCTCAATCATTTGAGGGCCCGTACATTTTGTTTTCTGTGTTGGGTTTTTGGTTTTGATTTCTTAAAAACATACTTGTCTAATAACTAATTCAATTTTATGTTTTCTATCTTTTTAAATAGTTTTTTAAATTCTGATTAAATTTTTTTAAAAAAAGTTGTAAAATGCAGAATTACGTTTCTCAACATCTCATTTTTTCAAATTTTTTTTTCTTTGACATATTTCTGTCTTATAAATATCTTTACACTCTAAAATAGTTTTTTTTTTCTTTTTTTTTCCATAAATTTCTCTCTAAAGAATTTATTTTTCTCTTTTTAAAATTTTCATCCGAAAATATTTACTATTATTTCTCTCCTTTTCACAAATTTTCGTTTATATATATATATATATATATATATATATTTTTGTTCTAATATATCTGTCTCTGTTTCTCAAATTTCGTCTTTTATAACTTTTTTCTCTTTTAGTCTATTTTTTTTATAAGAAATATATCTTCAAATTTTCTTTATCTAAAATTTTTCTTGTTCAATTTTCTTTTTACTTATAATATATGATTTTCTATTTTTGTTCTTAACTTTTCTCTAATGCTTTTTCTAACTTTTCTTTATTTTCTAAAATTTCTCATTCAAAGTTTTTTTTTATGATTCTAAACTTTTATTTTCATGTATATAACATTAGAGATAACAAAAATTTTCATAGGGTCGAGTCCCCGCTCCAAGAACATATTATTTTCCACCACATTCCATCTACGATTCTATTTTTTAAATCATTAATATTTTATTAACTGTTTTACTAAATTATGAATAAAATATTTAATATCTTTTGAACTAATTATTTTTTTAGAGCCAAACTAAGTAACTGGTAAATAATAATTTTTGAGTAAAATATATCTTTATTACTTTTTATTTTTTAAATTCTAAAAACAATTAAAATTAATTATTAAATCAATAATTTTTTCGTGAAGATTCTCATCCTCAAATGAGGATTCTTGAACTCAGACCTCCACCGGAATCGAAGAATAGCACTACAAAGAAAATGGGTTTCAGCGACGAAATATTTTCGTCGCTGCAGCTTCATTTTCGTCGCTGATGGTCAACAACGACGAAAATATTATCGTCGCTGATGGTAAACTCCGACAAAATTCAATTCTCATTCAAAAGCTCCCACATCTCAACAACTATATAACAAACTTCATATTCACAAGTTTCAAATTCCAACAATAAACATAATCCATATCTTTCAAACTTCAATAATAAAACATCAAACACATTCAACCACTCCCATATCTTTCATACTTCAACTAAACATCAAATACATCCAAGAGTTTAAACTCCGACAAAATTCAATTCTCATTCAAAAGCTCCCCCATCTCAACAACTATATAACAAACTTCATATTCACAAGTTTCAAGCTCCAACAATAAACATAAACCACATTCATATTTTAGTTCCAACAATAAACATAAGTTACATTCACATTTTTCAAACTCCCCCCCCCCAACTATATAACAAATTTCATATTCACAGGTTTCAAGCTCCAACAATAAACATAAACATAAGCATACCATACTAATAATCAATAACTTCACAAAATATATATTCAATATCAAACACATAAAGTCAAACACAAAGAAATTCAAATTGTTCGTGCCTTGCTCAATGGAAAATGTCTTAAAATTTTGTGTGGAATCTTTTTTTCCTTTACCCTTGTCTGTCTTGTAACGGGATACGTTGTATTGTGGACAGACATCAGCTTGCTCATTTTCTCTCCATAATAAGATACAATCATTCTTGCAAGCATGTATTTTTTCATATCCTAAACCCAAATCTCGTAACATCTTTTTTGCACCGTAATAAGACTCTGGAATACTACAATCAATTGGAAGAGCTTCTTTAAGTAGTTGCAACAACATATCAAATGACTTATTGCTCCATAGATTAAGGACTTTGATGTGCATTAACTTAACCATGAATGTTACACTGAAAATTTCGTACATCCAGGGTACAATTCTTGATCAAGTTCATCAAACATTGATTGAAACTTAGTATTTTCAGTTTGCCTATTGTCACTTGATTCGCCTCTAATTGACTGATCTTCTCCCCTAAATTCAGTGTATCTCTCATTTGTTAAATCGTTTAACATCTCACTCATTCCATATTCCTGCTGTGTGTTTTGATTAATACTTGTACGTATCCTCTTAGAAGGTAACTCTCGAGTTTCTCCATGGAAAGTCCATATCCTATAATAAGGACACATTCCATACGAGTACAAATGACCTTCCACATCGCATGGTCGTTTCCATACTAAGTTTTGGCATTTCTTACATGAACAACGTGTAAACTCTCTTTTATCGACATGCTTCTTCGACAGTTGAACGAATGATCTAATTCTTTCCGTATATTCTTTACTTAACCTATCCGGATTTTTTATTCAACTTTTATCCATAACTTTTCCTAGTCAAAAGTATAATACAATTAATCACTAACATAATTAAACAAATGAAAGAACAGAATTTATAAGAAAAAT